GTCTCAGAAGTACGCTGCTGTTTCACAACGCCATTTCACCTCATCTGTAAATAAACACAGTCACTCGTAACAGTATATTGAAGGAACGACAACGTTTTCACTTTGTTCCGTGGTCTTGAACTTATATTTTTTGACTTCGAGCTCAACGGCCGTTCAAATTTACTCACGCATTTGATGCAGCAGATAATAAATGTGTATTTGTGTTGCGAGTTTTGTTTTGTTTACTCACCTCCAGTGCACCGTATGCTCTGTCTCTCGCTCCCCTAAAAAACCCCTTGAATCGCAACGTAAAATATATTGGATGACATAGTGCGACCAGTTACAGTGTACAATACATTGAACAACGCTTTGCGGCGAGGTGACATCACATGGAGAAAGACAACGTGACACAGGTGGAGAACGTGACAGTTACCCAGATGGCATCGCTTTTTTTCAGTTTAGTTCTGTTCAAGATTTTAGGTTTAGGCATTCGTCGTGATTTTCAGCTGCGAACAAACGGAGCCTTTACTCATACCGAAATTTCTCCAGCCTGAACTTTTTAACGCTATCACGTTCAAATCTTCACCGATAGCGTAGAGCGAGTTTTCCCATAATGAAAAAGATTGAGCAGTCATGCGGTCTCTGGCTCATTGATAAATACACAACGTTAGATCACTAGGAGCGTCGCCAAAAGTTATTGTATAGTACTATGAAATGATTGAGTTTTACAAAAAATTTATTACGCTTGCTCTTTAGTTATATAGGTAACTGTATCGTACTGTGCGTACTCATTCCCGTAATATTAAGTATCAAAGATGTTTTAGAAACTTGTAGAACCAATAAATATGCTTCATTTGAATATGAAGTAAATGTTACCTTGAGCATACTTTTTTTCATGTGAAACTGGCCCTTTTGGTGTCCTTAGTATTTTCCTCAAGAACTTCAGCTAATTCTGGGGCTGTGCTTTATGACGCTGTAAGACTTGTTTGTTTTGCCTTACGCACCACCTATTAATGATATTGTTACCACATATGCAATTTAGGTATGTGCATCTGTGTAGTGGGGAACAGGGTGGTGCAAGACGAGGAGGACGTTCGCCGAACAAATGCCGAGACATTGCTTTCTTTGCGACAAACAGTGATCTGCAATCACTTTATCAGACATTACAGAATTACCTAAACATGATAGAGGAATGGCTTCAAAAAGTTGGAATGTCTCTGAACGTAAACAAAATCATGCTTCTAGCGTTCTCGTTCAGGGATCCTGTCAACCTCTCCTTGATGTATGGCACAGACCAGATTCCCCTGGTGGATTCACTCAAATACTTAGGCATCATATATAACAGCCCGTTAAATTGGAAAAGCCACATTGATCACATTGGGTCCAAAGCAACACGAGCCATGGGGTGGTTACGCAAGCTCAGCAACATAAAAAGGGGGTTGAAAAAATACATTGGTAATGGTCTATAAAATGTACATTCGCCCTATCATGGAATTCGGCTGTGTCCTATTTTTGGTTAGTGCGACATATAAAATAAGACCGCTAATACTATTAGAAAGGGAGGCTTTACGACTGTGCCTTGGACTGCCCAAGTTTGTTGCTAACAATGTGCTATACATGGAAGCGCGTCTACCATCATCGTTGAATAGATTCAAAATGTTTACTATACAAACTTTTTTAAATCTATACACTGTGCCCCAGAGAGCATCGTTTTATGCTTTTATTAAAGAACCAAGCTTATTTTTCGAAACTTGGTGGTCGCAATTACACTTCCCACAGATCATGTTCGTTCAAGCGCTGCTGGAACCCACTGAACATCAAAATCAAACATATTTTCTCAACAAGAAACGTTAATTTAGATCTTCAAATAGAATTTGAGAATATTTATTCCTCTTACGCAAAGCAAATGCCATTTGAACATTTAAATGATCGGCTGCAGCAAAACTTGGCACACGTGAACATGAACAATATAATTGCGACTGATGCATTCGTATCAAATGAAAAGGCTGGGCCAGGTATCTTCTCACGTTTCCTTGACTGGTCTTTTTCGGTTAGACTCCCAGATTACACACCAATCTTCATAGCAGAATTATTTGCTATTGTACTGGACCTACGGAAACTTCCTTTGGGCGAATCGGAAGCAGTCGTAATTACAGATTCTTTTTCAGTATGTGCTGCTCTATCTTCAGGAGCCAACTTAACACTTATGCACATGTTTCGAACACTCATACCGACAAACTTAAAAAAGCGGCAGCTCCTATGGGTACCAGGTCATCGTGGCATATATCTCAATGAGATGGCGGATACACTAGCCACAGTACGTCTTAGCGGTCCCCTTATCCTGATATTTCCTGATACGGCTTACGCGACAGCAATAAGGTTTAGAAACCTCTGTTTGCATGAATACTACTGCTACTCAACGGATAAATATGGAGATTTCGCACATCTAAGATGCCGCTGGAATACACAGTGGTGCGCAACACGGCGCTTGTAAGTCACTTTTACAAGACTGTGTTGCAGAATTCTGCAACTGAATTATTATTTGCATAAAATTGGTCTAAAGGCATCACCTTTATGTGAGACTTGTGAAGAAATGGAAACAATAGACTATTTCTTTTTGTTCTGTCGCCAATATTCTCATCAGCGGAAAAAATACCTGGTAGCTCCACTCGAAAAATTAGGATTAGAATTAAATGTGGCAGTAATTTTGTCATTTCGCAGCATTAAATTTGGTTACAGCCACAAGGACGTCTGCTCCGCGGTATTTCACTACATAATTGAAACAAAGCGATTGCCATTTTAAACTGCCTATATATATATATATATATATATATATATATATATATATATATATATATTTATATCATTCGTTTTAGACCTGCCTTTACCTCTGTCTCAAATCGCATCTGATAGCCTGCATCGCTCCCTGCTCAGCATATACTCCTTTTTCAATTTTTGGCTTTTCTTTCTATATATTTCTTTTTAGTCCAAAGTTACGTTGTGTTTGAAAAAGCATAAGCCTTTTATTTAAGATCCTGCCGCCCGGTTCTTGGCCGATCCCCCTTTGTGGGTGTGCGCCGGAGTATCAGGGATCATCATCATCATCATCATCATCATCATCATCATCATCAGACCGCTCAGCTGTGAAGGGTCGGTGACGAGCTTGCTGAGCGGGGGCTGCCCACCTCTGTGTGGCGGGGCCGTGACGAAGGCCTGGGCCATATCGGTGGTCGGCCGCGAATGAGTCACGACGTGGCCACGGAGTTCTAGTTTCACTGATGTCTGTCACACATACCGATGGTTGCAAAGGAGCTAGTGGCGCCGCCGTGTAGTAGGGTGGACTGGTAGGCGGATGAGGAATGGTTTCGTCAACCCAACCACCTTGTCGCTGCAGCTCTTCACGTACTATGGCCCGAATAGTAACGGCAAGGTCGGCGGACGGGCTCACATCGACGCTGGTGACCGTTGTCACAATTTGCCAGCCTACCAAATTTCGGGGCAATACGACGGGTCTTCAGCTTCTCGAAAGTATGGCAGTGACGTTGGACGGCGGAGACGGAAGTGAGGTCTTCCCTGCCTATCAAAAAATTGTAGACATCCTCTGCTATACTCTTCAGAAGGTGTCCGACCATGTTCTTTTCAGACAAATACGGGTATATGATCTAGCAGAGCATCAGAACCTCCTATGTGTAGGTAATACACGTTTCTCCAGGAGTCCAAGCTCTTTGACTCAACGTGCGCTCCACGCTTTTCTTTTCGAATCAGAGTCGCCAAAGCATTTCTCGAGTTTTTCAGCGAAACGATCCCACGTGAATCTTCATGGTTTTCGTACCACATCAGGGTGGTTTCCGTGAGAAACAGCGTGAAATTTCCCAGTTGGTCGGTGGGATCCTAGCAGTTGTACTGGCTCACCCTTTAGGTAATGTGTCAACCGCGCATCCACATCTTCTTCTGCCCTTCCCGTGAACGGGCGGGGTTCCATGTAGTGATACCAAGGTGCAGCCGGCACTGACCTTTGCATGGTTGAGAAGCCGTTATCTTCGCTCTCAGCCATGACGGTTGTTGTCGGTGCAAACCGGCAAGACGACAGCTCCGGCGAAGTTCAAACAGCTGTGGCTCCGTGGTTCGTTGACGTGCTGTTAACCACCACCACCACCACTCTGTTATGTCTACGAGAGGGGTTTATTCAGAGCCGACGTAGCGGTCGACTTGAAGGTATACAATGAACGTGCACCAGAGATGTAGATATAGATGTAGATCCTTAACTCGTGGCTCACACACACTTTGGCGGATCGGCAAAAATTGGGTAGCTTACCAAAAAAACTAATTTCCTCTTGCCACCAACCGAAAGTCCTCTTCGTCTCGCACCACCCTGTTCTCCGCTACACAGATGCACATACGTAAATTTCATATGTTGTAACAATATTGTCGGCATTGCCTTCGGCAGTTCAAGTTATTCATCACTGGTATGTATCCCAAAACGTCTTCTAAATGTTCATGTTCATTACTATACAGTGCTCGCAAAATGTACCATCACAAGTAAAAATAAGACAAAGAAGACATAGAGGTGCAGTTCTTTTTATCCAAAATATTGCACGGAAACCCATATAACTTGCGCAACACTCACACTTACGTCTTCACGTACCTGATATCATGATATCAGTACGTTGTCGAAGCATACTTGAGCTTTGCGACGTATGCATGCATACACGCACAAAGTAAAAAGAACCAAAGGGTCGGCAAGCTTTCATTTTCGCAAATATAATTGACGTAATAAAGATAAAAGCATAATAACCTTATAAACAACGAAACATAAAACAAGAAAGTGGTCTTGTCATCACATATCAAAGCGCACAATGTGCAATGAGCACTGAAACTGCGCCTGGTCCACTCAGCTGGAGCAAAGTACGTGGCATCACTAGGACAAGGTAGAATTGCCGTAACTTGGCGTAGAAGACGACGTATGCGCAGTGAGATGAGTGGTCACGGGCACGTAGGAGCGCAGCTCTTCTTCTTCGAACGGCCGATTCGTCGCCCATGTAGTAGAGCAACGCGTAGGCCAGGGTGAGAAATCCCGTGCCAAGGAAGTCGCCGCAGCCCGTCAGGCAGGGGATGGCCGCGTTGTCCGGGTCGACACCCCAGTTCCAGAGGTGGTACACGATGAGGCGCGCCAAGTACAGCAATACCAGCACCTTCACAATTCGAGTAAGAGTTGGTTGTTCCGGCATAATATTACTAGTTGCAGTCGCACGTGTCAAAGCCACGACATATTTACTAGGCATGTCGTAGCAGAGAGCTTCAGAAATTCTGACACCGCCACTCGCTAAGGTGTACTAGTCGCTAGGGCACTCGGCTGCTGACTGGCAGGTCGGGGGAATGTATCTCGATTTCGGTGCCTGCATTTTCGATGGAGGCGAAAGTTCTGTAGGCCCGTGTGCTCAGGTTTGGGTGCACGCTAAAGAACCTAAGGTGGATTAAATATCCGGAGCCATCTACTACAGCGCCTTTCATATACATATGGTGGTTTGGGGCAATAAACCCCACATATTATCATCATGCGATCAAATCACAGCCCCAGCGTTCGTATGTTCGACGGATGCCCATGTGCTTGAGGCCCATGTTTGAGGCCCATGTGCTTTGATTTAGGTGAACGTTCAAGAACCTCAGGTGGTACAAACTTCCGGAGCCGTATTCTACAGTCTCTCGCATATACATACAGTGGTTTTGGAACGTTAAGCACCAACAAATATATTGTGGCTAATTTCAGTAACGAGTACCAGCACCTGTTTTGTCACACCGCCATCACTTTAGCTTACCCTGTCGCAGACATTGCTGAACGTTTCACATCTACATCAGCCGACTGACAAGCTTCGACCGACACCAAGTGACGTGACTTCGTTACTTGCAGAGTTGATGTCAATTTGACCCTCTCGGAACAGCAACAGACTGAGCTACGTGAACTGCTATATAGAGTTAAAGAGTGCTTAGCATCCAACTCGCAGGTTGGTCAGACACTGATTCCCAAATACCGAATAATTGCATATACCGACACCTCACCCATAAAACAAAACCCATACTGCGTTTTGGCAAAGGTACGTGACGTGATAAATCCTCACGTTAAAGAGATGCTGCAAGATGACGTTATCCAACCTTCCAAGACTGCTGTAGTCATCTCCGGTTGTTCTCGTAAAGGAAAAAGATGGATCATTGCGCTTCTGCGTAGACTACAGAAAACAACAGCGTAGCTGAAAAAGACGCCTATCCGCAGCCCCGCATGAATGATTCCCTCGGCAGACTGCGGTAGGATAAGTATTTCTTATCGATGTTCTTGAATAGTGGCTACTGGCAGATCGAAGTTGATGAACAACAACACGAAAAAATCGCCTTCGTTATACCAGAGGGCCTATATGAATTCAAAGTACCTCCCTTCGGCTTCTGTTCTGTACCTGCGACATTTCAGAGCACTAAGGACACTGTTCTTACCGGTCCAACGTGGCACATGTGCCTAGTTTATCTAAATGATGGTGTCATGTTTTCTGCGACCTTTTAGGAGCACATAAAGCGTCTGCAGGCAGTGCTGGATGCACTCTGCTCTGTTAACCTTACGCTGATGCCAGAAAAATGCCACTTCTGTTATAAAACATTTAAGTTTCTCGGCCATATTTTCAGTGTGGATGGTGTTCGACCAGACCCTGACGAAAGCACCACCGCGACCTCGTTTCCCGTTACACGAGAGAGGAAGGTAGTAAGTGGCTTTATAGGGCTCTGTGCGTACTATCGCCGATTTATAGCCAATTTTTCTAGGATTGCTGAACCGCTCATTCAATTCTCTCGTGAAGACGTGTAATTCGCCTGGGAGGAAGAACAGGACGCAGCTTTCTCTGAACTACGGGAGCATTTGCAGACACCGCGAGTCCTCGCTCACTTTTAACCAAGATGCTGATAGTGAAATTCATATTGACGCCAGTAACGTGAGTCTTTGAGTTGACCTCGTCCAACTACAAGAGGGCATGGTGCAAGTGATAACCCTCTTTCCCGTGCCGACCTAAACTACTCCACGTCAGAAAAAGCGTGCCTCACTGTTGTATGGGCCACGATGAAGTTTAGGCCTTACCATCATGGACGCCACTTCAAGGTAGTGAACGACCATCATTCGTTGTGCGCGTTAGCCAACCTACAGGACCCGTGCGGGCGACTGGCACGATGGAGTCTTCGTGTGCAGAAATTCGATTTCACGATCACTTTCAAATCCAGCCGCAAGCACGAAGATGCCGATTCGTTGTCCCACGCCCCTGTCGAAGTTTGTGGCCATGACAACGAAGATGACGGTAGTACTACACTACCCTTACTACAACCGATCTGATTACACGACAGCACGCGGACGACGAAATACGTGCAGTTATCAAAAACTTGAAAGACGTAACTCTTCCATACCTCATTGTACTTCTCGAAGTCTGTCGTCATTATGCCTGTGAGATGGGGCCCTGTATAAGAAAAACTCCAACAGCATTGAGAGAACTTATCTTCTAGGCGTGCCAACTGACTTGCGTGACGACATGCTTCTCGCCTGCCACGATGAGCTCACATCTGGTCACATAGGTTCCCTTCGAACTCTCGATCGAGTTCGGCAAGCGCACTACTGGCCTAAGCTTTACGCATCTGTTAAGCGATACGAGAAAATCCGCCGGGATTGTCAACGCCACAAATCCCTGCCACTGAAGCCCGCGGGGCTTCTTCAACCACTCGAACCACCTAGGGTGACATTCGATCAAATAATAATAGATTTACTGGGGCTCTTTTCGCTGACATCTGCCGGCAACAAGTGGATCGTAGCAGCCACGGACTATTTGACGATGTACGCCGAAACAAAGGCACTACAGCGTGGTACAGCATAAGCGTAGTAAAAAAGGGCGTGTGTGGGCTTCGTAGCCTTGGCTGTGCTGCCACAGGAAGTTGTCACTGAGTATAGTTAACACTCTTTCGGCCCGTTTATCTGAAATAGAGAGGACACCAGAAAGCGAAGCTAGCTGCTTCGCCCGCTAGAAGATGCGCTGAAGTGATTTGGCCTAACCCGGGCGTTGTTCGGCGTTGCGAGGGTTAGCAGAGCCGATCGCGTTCACGCATAGCGACGTCGCAACGGCAACACCGACAAGGCGCGGGCCAGGGAAGCCGAATTCAAGCGCCAGAAGTGAAAGATCAACGACACCGACGAGGTGCGAGGGCGGGAATGGAGAAGGCGCGCTGGTAACACCACCGAGACACAAGCCAAGGAAGCGAAGCGCAAGCGTCTTCAACGCGTCGGCAACACCGACGAGACGCGAGTGAAGGAAGCCAAGTACAAGCACCGACAGCGGAATGCCAACGCTGACGAATCCTCGACGTCGTCGTCGTTTGGCAACGTCTCGAAAGCGCCACACACCTCCACTGAAGCACCCGTACGCAAGCGCTGGGCTCCGCCAGGCGAACAAGAGGCGACGTGTAAGAACGATAAGGGCTTTTTTGAAGACACAACTGGTTCGAGTGAGTTGCCTTGTGCATCGGTGACGTGTCGATCTTCGTGCTCTACGTCACATTCAACCTGCCGAAGAAGCAGCTTCAGCGCTGTCTGAAGGAGGCGCTGACTGTTGAATTGAGGCCTGTCGATGTGCCTCTTACAGTCGCGGGAGATTTCAACGTTTTCGTCAGCGGAGGAAGACGAGAATGGCTTGTCGATTACATGCTAGACGTGCACTCGCTGAAGTGCGTGTCGGTGGAACGGAAATCACCCACCACAATAAAAGGAATGCGCATCGATCTGGCCTTAGCCAACTGCGACGCAGAATGTCTGCAGGAACCTCTCAGCGTGCACTTCACCGATCACAAGGCGGTGATAATCAAGGCGAAACACGCGCCTGCTCCGGTCCAGCGCCCGTGTCCCCTCTGAAGAAACTAGACATACGCCAGCCATCGCTTCAAACGAATCTTCCAGCGCTCACCGCAGGACCCGCGTTAGCGCCTTTTCAAACCGTCCCGCCACACATGCTAAACGCTGATGTTTCGCACTCTTTCAGGGTGCCGTTCGAGGAGAGGGTTCAAATTTTTATTATCGTAAATTCCAATCCCTTGTGCTTCTTCAACGTCCACCTAGATTTAAGTACATGGGCCTATAGGTTTCTCACTTCTATCGAAAATGGGGCCGATGCAGAGAGGATAAGATCCAGAGACATGCTGCTGACACTGGAACACCATAATTATTAGACCACCGTGGCGGAACTCGAATAGGACAGGTGCTATTACGAAAAGTGGCTAAACAATCTTGAAGACACTTTGTTGCCAGAATAATGTAGTTAGGTGTAATAACGTTGACCTATAATTTATACTTGTACTTAAAAATTTCCCCTCTCTTCTTCACAGCATTTCCTGTCGCCCTTTTTATTACAAGCTTCCAGAGTAACCGTGGCTCTCGCGTCATTTTATGTATCACTACTTCAATAAAAAGGACTTGATTCTGTTATACATTGCAGAGAATGGCGTTTGTCTAAAAACGGCCTCTTGCTCATGCTTGTCATAACCTACCTCTGTACCTTCTCGTTGGAATTTTTACGTATACATTGCTTTCGATTCGCACTACTACACCCTAGTTTTGAACTCTTACTTTACATACCTTCGTGAAGGGCCTTTGGAGGGTTAGTTTTGGGACGTTAAGCCCCACATATCAACCTTTGGAGGGTGAAGGCCGAACATAATAAGGATAGCCTCGGGTAAATTTAGAACGGTAAATTTAGAACAACGTGCCTAGATGAAGCAATTCTGGGTTACCTTATAGAGTATATGATCCGGATACTTAGAATTTGAAAAGGGTGAATGTGACTAGCAAGTATTTTTTTTGTCTCGCCTTTCTTTTTATTCCGCTGGTGAAGTGTTGCATGCAATATGTCTGTTGAAGCGTCTGTCTAGGAGGCATCCGCGTCGCCTTTTGCACTCATATCGGAACGCCAAACCACCCATAGAACAACAACAAAAAATAATGATATAATGATAAATATTAATAATAATACTGATAAAATTCTTAGGCAAGAACAATATTATTATTAATAATGAACTGACTGTTGATAAACTAACGGCTAAAGTGAATCACCACATCCTCCATCCCTCGTGCGTAGGCCTCGGGCTTGGCTTAAAACGCCATGATGACCGATGGGCAGTTACAGCACCTCATCGTGACTTCTTGTTCAAGCAAAAAAAAAAAACACCAGGCTTGCGCGAGACGCGCTGCACTGTCACCGCGGAAGCTGCAAGAGTGTCATTGCTAAATACATCTTTTTATTCATACATTGTGTAAGTGCTACGAGCACACTCTCAGGGTAGCGCTTATGCCATAAATATCAATTATTTGTGGTAGTAAGGCATCCACTATGGCATTCTTGGTCACAACGCCATTGGCATTGTGTGATGTCTGGTTGTTTTTTCGCTGTTCTGGAACACAATATTACTTATAATAACGCGATTTTTTTCTCGACATGAAAGCTGCCTAGTGTTAATCTGAAACGAAGTTTCACGCATGAGGTTTCAAGCACCGGTGTAGCTTAATGGTAATTTACTGGCGTGGCAGGCAGGGAACCTGGTTTTGAATCCCAGTCGAGCCTCGGAGCTTTTATTTACTTCGCTTGTTTCTTTTTTTTCCACAGAGCGCGATAGCGGATACAAACACCGGCGACGGACAATTACGGCCCAAAGGCCCTTGTGCTCTCATAATATCTTTCTCTGTAATGCATTAGTGACTGTCTGCAAACATTAAAATTGCTACCAATTTCCAGGGGGGGGGGTAATGTGGCCATTACCCCCCCCCCTGGAAAAACTGAACTGAAAATTACGAACACAAAAGATACCAATATAGTCATGCAAAAAAGAAAACCCCTCCAGCTAGCATGGGCAGTTTATATATGAAACTGAATCAGCGAACATGAGAAAACCGACACAAACATTCACCTTTGGTGCCCTAGAGTGCGTTTACGAGTCTCTCAAATAGATGGCGCCAACGACTCGTGGAGGGTCAAAGTGAGTCAAAGCCGTAGTTTAATTCCCTAAGAAAGCACGTCTTATTGTTGGTGCTTAGGCTGCGCATTTTTTCGCCGGGCTTAAGTTTACCAGCACCGGAAGCGATAAAGAATGATTTGGTAGAAGTCAAGTATGCTTCTGTTTAATTGCAAATACCAGTTTCACTTGGTGATAGTTATCTCTGTTTTTTCCTACTTGAAACATAAGCTTGCCAGTTCATTAGTTGTTTATTTCAGTTTTTTTCTTATTTATTTAGGTATCTATTTGTATATGTATTTACTTATACGATTATTGATTGATACTGTGATCATGTACACGATCTTGGCAGCTTGGTACATTGTATAGGTGCATCAAAATAAAAAAAGACACAGGAAACAACAGCTTTGTTCGCACGTGTGCTTTGATGAACAAAACTAAAGGGCAATGAGCGCTAGTCCAGCATTCTTTGGGTCCAACAGACGAGTTAGCACGAGGTGAAAGAGAAAAAATACACATATGAAAACTATTCTAGTCAGAGAAGATAATTGCTTCCTACCGAAGGTGAGATTCAAATTGCGAGAGGTAATCTTGCATCAACCTTTTACCGTGCTATTTGTTCCAATCCACTACAGTTTATTCTAGGAAAGAAAGAATTTGAAACGTGTCACGATTACAGTTACAGCTAGTGAGTTCCTGGGTCTGGTATCGTAACCTGACAAATATAGAAGGTGCGACGTGTCAATCTTCTATTGACCTTTCATTAGTTGAAAGAAAGAATTTTAAATGGCGTACACGAGAAGAAAGGATGACGTAATTGAGCCAGCAGTGGCAAGCCGACCGTTTTGAAGCCATCAGTGTCAGCCCAACAAGTGACATGCCCAAGGTCTCGTACGGAACGATCCTTGCCGATACTGCGGTGCGCTGCGGAGTATGACACGCAGGATATTTCATCCTAAATCCTTTTGCTCGGTGCAGACCAGCCGGCCCACGCAGGAGGTTCAAAAACGAAACGCCACCGAAGTCACAAAATCCCACCGCATGCTCTGACATCTGACATTTTGATCATGTGTTGGGCCGACACGGTGGGCTTCACTCGTGTGATGATGCTCCCTTCTTTTTCCTTCCTTCCTCGAGGCCCCGCAGAGACCGCAGCTGCAGCCATCGAATAAGGCGTCCAATGCTCAACGATTTAAACTAAAGCAGCAGTTGTCCTCTTGTCTACTATATCGGGTGTATTTGCGCGTCGACACTTGGGAGTGCTTGTCAGCGCAGCTCGTAGCCCTGATGGTCGCGTGCGGAATACTCATGTTATTCCTCCTGTGTCTAAACAATAAGTGAATTCTTCGCGTTTCGTAATTACGCAACATCACCGGTGGGGACCCACCTGCCCTAGCGATGCACCACAATAGGCTGCGAAGAAGGTGATGGTCATGGAGACCTTGCCGAAGCGCAGAATCCTAGAGAGCACAGCGAACAGCGTCTGGCCGGGCACCACGACGCCGACGAGCACGTAGGCCACGTTGGCCATCTCCCCACCCTGGTAGTACATCTGTAGGGGCCCCACGCAGACGTGTTCCCCGAATGGTATGTCTCCCAGTGGCGTCACCCGGTTCAGGTAACTGGACAAGCTGCAGCTGAAGACGGCCGCCAGGTTGCCGCCCAGCGCTGCAATCGGTAACCATCAGACACGTGGAGCAGAGTATTTCCCGGTTGGTTCGATCATGATTCGTAACAAACTTTCTTACACGAAAATGTTTTATGCCGGGTTACACCACCGCTCCACTCACGTCTTTCCGTTGAGGGTAATACGTTGTGAAATATACACGCACAGATGACCAAGAAAAATTCGAAGAAAAGAACAAATTGTTCAGTCACCATGAGTCACACCTATGACACCTATATATAGCTCCGCTGCGTGTGAAGCGAAGCGACTCCACCATGTAACGCACATTAATCAGTGCACTAACGGTGAGCTATTTATGTACGTTATTTTCTGTTGACGGTGATCATAGGTCGGTGGCACTTCAGCGTGTTCAATTTATATAACTGGTGAGATAGCGAGAAGGGTGCGCTTGAGATTTACCTTTAGAGGTCATCGCTCTTCCTCTGAATGTGTTCCCACGGTCCGCACGAGTGAGCACGCCTCTGCAAGACGTTGCCGCTCGTGTGGGCGTGCCCTTGATGCGGGTGGTTTAAATGTTTCACAGCTAGTTTGTGTGGAAGTTACGGAGAGCACAAATGCAAATTCGCTCACTGCAGTGGCCGTCTTTGCGAAAGGAGTGCACTGCTGAAATACTAGGCAACAATTGTGAGAGCTGCTGATTCCCACTGGTTCTGTGTATACTTGAGCGTTCGTTTCATGCGCCTTCCTTTGTGTCTGAGCAGCCAGCGATTAGTGAGAAGCTGGTATACAGTTCTTAGTTGGCACTTGTCCTGTTGTATGTCCGTTTCGTGCGTCTGTTCTGCTTGAGCAGCGCGCGGCATGTTCGAGCTGCATGCCGTTCTTCACGTTAACTTAAATTTGTTGCTGCCGCCCTCATTCCTTCGCCGTTGTGGAAATGTGCAGTAAATGTTTAGATACCTCTGTCAAGATACGTTTACCTTTCAGGTAAAAGCTTATTCTATGAAGGAAGAAATAGCCAATGCCTCCTTCATTTCTTTCAGAGCCAGTGCGAATGCACGCTCCTCAACGGAAGCCATCGGTCCACCTTAGTTCAGGGAGTGGTCGTGATGCGTCGCCACATGTGAAGCTGCTTGCGCCACACGTGCGTTCAAGCACTTTCCTTCGTAGGTATATTGGACACATTTATGTCTCAAGTATTACACATTTGTCAGATTCGTTCATTCGTGCTCCTTGGTTTCTGGCTCAAAGCCTTGCCGATGCCACCTCATGGTGCTCTTGAAGTCAGTGCATGAAGTAGCGTCGTAATGATGCTTCCCTATTGTTTGCTTACATAGCGCCATGAACGCCGACGTGCTATCTTAGAGTACCGTAGCATTTACAGAAGCAGCGTGAGCGCCAACATTGTGAACACCAGGAATGTAAGACACTGCCCCACGGATCTGTACACAACCGAACAAAACAATCCTTCGTATGATTTGCGTTGTGAGACACCACATGATGGGCTATCTCCCCCATAACCGCAAAGCGCAGGCCAAAGCTAGGCAAACGGCAAGATCTGGAGAGGGCGACGAACGGCTAGATCTGGCACATCTGGCTGGCATATTGTAAAAATAGAAGAGACACTACATAAGCGCTATTTATTTGTTTTTTTAATTACTTCACTCTCAAGTTATCACTAAGGGAGAGTATCAATTCAAGCCCCGAACCTATGGTGCAGCCACGTACTCGGCTGCGAAAGTAACTGTTTAAAACCATCGCGTAGAACGGGGTGGATTTTAGTGTTTGAATAGCCTGACTCACCATTTACTGCAGACAGGTGGAGGGCAATTGGCGGATAAGCGAAGACTGCGTAATCCAGGATGTACCCGCCGAAGCTGCAAAAACGCATGTGCAAAAAAATTTAGTAGCAACTTGTATTTAGGAGCTTTCGTACGAAGAGCTTTACAAATTGTCGGGTAATTAAACTTGGAGCCTCTTCGAATATTTCACATTGCCATTACGAAATTCTATTCAATTATCCTTGTTTACGAACCAGTATTATAGGTGACCAGGCAAATGTTGAATGTCTGAAATGAGGACTGCTTTTAATATTATTTATTTTCGTTTATTGTGGTTTTATTGTTTACCCGTTTGGTTTGGTTATTCTGGGATTTATTCATTTATTAAGAATTCTTTTTATCCCATTCCACATCATTCCAGGTAGAAGACACATCAAATAGCTACATACAAAACTTAAATAGAAATAGAGAACAAAACAAAATAGAATGATCCCATAAAATTGATTTGTACAGAATAACCTAGAAACTGCTGCAAATGCTTTAATGATATGTGGTATTTAGCGCCCCAAAACCACCCTATGATTATTCGAGACGCTGCGGGGGAGGACTCAGAGAATGTCGACCACCTGGGTTTCCTTAGCGTGCACAGGAATCTCAGCACGTTCGCATACATCATTTTTCACCTCCACCAAAAAATGCAATCACAGCAGCCGATATTCGATCCTACGACCTTCCGGTCAGCAGTTTAGTTCCTCAGCAACTAGAACACCACAGCGTGGCCTGCTGCCAATGCTACAGAACAGCAACAGTAACAGCAGGAAAAGCCGATTTAGACGTAATTTACGGGAAGAAATTTCACCTGAATGAACGCAAAACTTTGAGTGTAACACTCGCTTTCATAATGAGCAATGGGTGCGTTCTCTGCTCACTTACCTCGAGACCGTGAGTGCGATAATAATTGGCAGCCACCCGACGCGCAGCACCTCCCTGGAGACGGTGTTGCGTCGGGCCAGAACTATCCACATTGGCAGCAGGAGCAGGCACAACGCGATCACCAGCGGCGCCAGATCTGCACATGGTCGTCAAGCGCATATTGTATACTGAAGCGTGGGAAGTTGGGCCAGTCAGTGCTGCCTTGTGGTGCAATCGCGCACGAACAGATGGGAGCGCGAAAAAAGCTGTATTATACGTAGATGAATCGGTAATATTTATACAGCAAGTCTTTTGAAGTTATGCACAACTGATGTACACAGCTTTTAGTGGATGATTGCTGGCTTTTGTTTGCAACACTTCTTTGTCCACTAACCCTGGCACTTTTAAACATATACTATCAACGTCAAGTGGCCCATTCCACCCACAGCTCGTGTTCTGAACGCACGAAAAACTTGGCATAGAGGGGTCGCAATTGTGTATGAAGCCTACGCGTATAATACCACACCTTGCGCCATCAGACACAACGGTGTCAGTATAGTACACATTGTAATCAATCGATATCAACTATTCTTATAGCAAGTGGGTCCGAAACTTAACCGAACACCTGAAGCACGGCGGCAAGCACGTAAGCGTGTGCGCAGTGAACAAGCGTAGTGTAACTTGCACAAGAACGCATATCAACAGGCTTTACTTTACTTTTGCAAGACCTGGTCGTTACAATGCTGATAAAAGTTGGCAGATCCCACGTACAGTGGGAATCGACGAAATGCGAAGCATGAATGAGAAAGGTTAATATGTCACTTTGAAATCAGCCCAACGTGACGAGTTGAAGGCAAATGATGCCTTCTATGACTTCCGTCTCATGACTTTCATGTTTGGATGTGTCATTTACCTTCTTCGTCTATTGACGTCACAGGATACCAAATCTAGTATATGTGGAGCTAGCGAAACGGTGGCGAGCACGCTATGAGCGTGGTATGTTGTCATGCTCTTATAAGACACATGGGTCAGGATTATTATGTTTAGACTAGTCATATATTTTGTCATTCATTGACGTCACGTAACACCAAATTTGGTATATGTAGAGCTAGCAAAACGACAGCGAGCGCATCATGACGGGCCCAATATACTCGAATGTAGCGTTGACGCGAACCCGAAGGGTAAAGCGACGCTACGTTAGAAGAATGCGAGCACTCTATAGTCTGACGCCAGGCGCGACCGGCGCGATCAGCGTCCGTCAGTGCGGCCCGACGGCAACCGGTGTAAATTGCGGCATGCTGCATTTCGTGCCGATGCGTTACCCAGACAACACTGCGTCTCCCTCTTTTCGTGATGGAGGGATGCCGAACACGCTGAAACGCACATGCGTCAAAGCGATACAACGCGGCGCGTGCCTGCGAGTATACGGCAGCACCAGTGCCTGGCGTGCACCAACGCCGGCTCGACGCGACAAAATGAACACTGGCGAGCACGCGCACCGCTTCACGTCGAAATGTATTGGCGCCTTGACTCTGGGATGTAGTCATGTTTTAGATGCGGAGCATCTAATACTCGATGCTTGTAGTGCGGCGCCGTCCGCAAGCTTCCTCCTCCTCCTTCCACGATCTGTGCATCCCTTCCTCCTCTACACACCTCGTGCGCTTCACTCCTCCACCATCTGTGCACCCTTCCACCTCTACACACCGCGTGCGCTTCTCCTCTTCACGAACATTCGCTAGGTGTATAATGTAGCGCGCATGCGCCGTCACGCTTCGAGAACAACGGCAGCTGACGCGCACGCATGCACCGTCGCGCTTCGAGAACATCGGCAGCTGACGCGCGCGCATGCGCCGTTGCGCTTCTCCCCCTTCTCGAACATTCGACAGCTGACGCGCGCATGCACCGTCACCCACCATCTGTGCCGCGCGCGCTTCTCCCCTTCGAGAACATTCTACAATTCTCCCGATTCTCCAGTGGACGCGCATGCGCCGTCGCGCTTCGAGAACATTCAACAGCTGACAGTGCATGCGCCGTCGCGCTGTATATATACTCAAGGTCGGCGCTCGCTCGCTCAGTTGCAGCTCGTCGGTTGGTTTGTACGGCGCGTCGACGTCCAAAGTCGCGGTGAAATGAATGCCAACGAATCCACAAACACAATGATCGACGTCCCTTCGACCAGCGCCGCCCTTTCGCATACGTGTGTACGTGTTCACTAATTTAACACCCCCTCCTACAACCACGTTAACCAATTTAGCCATCGACCCAAGTAAGTCGCAATTTAACACCCCATTTCACAACCACGTTAACCAATTTAGCCATCGACCCAAGTAAGTCGCACTTTAACACCCCGTTAACGAATTATATGCTCCGCATCCTCCTCAGTGTTCCCCTGAGGGAAGCTGCGGGCAATTTTTTTACATGACACGCATCTCATGATTATTATGTTTGCACCAGTCACATACCTTCGTCATCCACTCACGTACCGTAATAGCAAATTTGGTTTATGGAACGCTTGAGAAAAGGCCACGAGGGCATCATGAGCGTGGCATATAGTCAGTTTGTTACATGACAAACGTATCATATTTTCATGTTAGGGTCTGTCCTTTGTGTTTTGCATGCAATAATGTCATGCCATACCAGTTTTGCAAGAAGCCATGTGAACAAAACCACCGCAAGAGCTGCAGGACCATGAAATGTAAATCATGATATTTATGACACACATGATATGATTTTCATGTTATGACTAGTGAGATATGTTCTTCATACAGTCATGTCACGCCATACCAAGTTTGGTATCGATAGTCGAAACGGCCTGGAGAGCTAAATGTCGTAGGCGGCTGGATAGATAGATAGATAGATAGATAGATAGATAGATAGATAGATAGATAGATAGACGATAGATAGATAGATAGATAGAGAGATAGATAGATAGATAGATAGATAGATAGATAGATAGATAGATAGATAGATAGATAGCTAGATGATAGATAGATAGATAGATAGATAGATAGATAGATAGATAGATAGATAGATACGCTGAAAGTCACCGAAGTTCGCTAAGAAATGCTTCGCAATCAAATAGGTCGTGGCAAAGACGCACACGGATGGTACAGCATTAAAGACGAGTAGCCGGAGAGCAGGAAAAGCGTGGTCAGGTCGCCGAACGAAGCCGCGACGGCCGGCGCGATGTTGTCCGGGTTTTTTTCGCACTTGGTGGGCAGCAACACGACCGTAGACATCACGAAGCCTGTGTGAACAAAAAATACAGGAATTGAAAAAAGTACAGAACGTCAGCTTGCTATATCTCTTAGGGCAGTATGTAGATGAATGTTCCTAAATGTATAATTTGCTAACATTGTGGTTAAAGAGAGAATTTTTTGACATGCCCTTGTGCAAGTTAACTACTGTGCTTAGATGAGTGTACTAAAAAGCGGTGAAGGGGATCTTTATGACGTGCCTTACAGCCTTGCGAAGAAATAGTTCTGAAAAAAAAACTTTCTCTACAGGTCTTCAACGTTTTTTCTTTCATTTGTTCAGTGATATGAAGCTGAGCTCACGCTTTCAAATGCACGTGTTAAGTTTATTAGTTAAGTTATACACCTAAAAATTCATGGAAAGGCGCAATTTGCTCGCTGTCTTCACAATTGGTTTATCTTTAGCGGCAGGCATCTTAAGAGGGTTGAAGATATTATTTGGAACAGTAATTGGGCAATAACATTATTTGCTTTTAAACTACTGTAGTTAGACAGTTAGGTCAAAAGGCCGTATTTAAGCCCTTTATGCAAAACGCCGATGTCCGCATTGAGATTTTACAAAAACGATCTGTAATATAACTGCAAATAAGTAAACTTATCCCCAATTCTGCGGTGAAACCGAAACGCGAAAGAGTGAAACCAAAATGAGGGGGTGGTATATCAACTATCTACCGACTCTTTTGTGTAGATGTGTAACCTGCATAGTTATCACGAGAGACCCTTTTTCCAAAATCTCAAAGCAGCATTGTGTTCTTCACATCAAGGACTTCAATTCATCCAGTGCACTTAACTACTTGACTCCGCTAATTAAAAAGGTGAATAATGTAGGTTTCCTGAGTACTGTTCCAAATTATGTAGTCAACCCTTCTGAAATTCTTCTGGCTACAGAGAAGACTGTGTAGACATTAAAGCAAATAGCGCATTTTTCTGATCTCTAATCAAAATTAGACACATTTTTCAGACGCCCTGCACATATACGTGAAGTAATGCGATATGAATGGAATTCACTAATTATGTGTACAAAGATATTTCAAAATATTCACGCACAAATGACAGAACATGGATGATTGACACTTTACCCTATCCGCTTGAGGAAGCGTAACCATTCGTACAGCAAGCAAGCTCCCGATATAATAAGCCGGCCAATTCATATGCCTCTGTATAAAATGTTGAAAATATCAACCTAGTGTATTAAAAGACGATTGTCAAAATGAGTTCTAATACAGTTTTCCGTCTTTATAATTCACCTTCTATCGTGCCTTCTAGTTTTATTGGTTTTAAACGCCTGTGGTATACAATTATGTGAGCACCGAAGTAGAGCACCACAATATGAATGTGCATTTTCGCATGTGTGTCATCATAACAATATTCCTCATTTCTTGATGCCTACGAATTCGCTCGCTTTTCGAATTTGTTTACATTATGTAACACACCGTGCCTATTTCTAGTTTTGTCAAATCAATATTTATGTGTGCATTTCTAAACTTCTCAAGAATATTTTTAAATGCTTCACAATCGCATTACTTGTTTTTGTCTCGTGCTCCCATATGCAGTTCTTCGGTGATTGAGGCTATGCAAAACAAATACGCAACTGAGAAAGAGACTGACGGTGTTGACAGCGGCCAGCGCTCCAGCGTAGAGGACGGCGATGTGGGAAGGGTCCCAGAGACCGTCAATCGCCAGACCTTTCAGGACGGCGAGTGAACATGTCAGGAAGATCGCCACTGTCGACTGGCACTGCACGTAAACATAGATCGACAAAACAAGGTGTAGCTCATTCAGACTGATTAAAAAATAGCAGATCCCACGTACAGTGGGAACCGATGACATGCGAAGCACTAACAAGGAAGGTCAATATCTCACTTTAATACCAAACCAACGTTACCAGGCGGACGTAAATTATGCAGTACCCGACTTCCATCCATCATTGCTATATTTAGACGTGTCATTTACCTTTGCTGTCTATTGCCCCGCCGCGGTGGTCTAGTGGCTAAGGTACTCGGCTGCTGACCCGCAGGGCGCGGGTTCGAATCCCGGCTGCGGCGGCTGCATTTCCAATGGAGGCGGAAATGTTGTAGGCCCGTGTGCTCAGATTTGGGTGCACGTTAAAGAACCCCAGGTGGTCTATATTTCCGGAGCCCTCCACTACGGCGTCTCTCATAATCATATAGTGGTTTTGGGACGTTAAACCCCACATATCAATCATTTGCTGTCTATTCACACCACTTGATACCAAATTTGGTATATGTAGATCAAGCTAAACGGCCCTGAGTTCGCTATGAGCATAGCATGTATTCATGTTTTACATGACACGCATGTCATGATTATCATGTCTGGGCGTGTCATTTACCTTCGTAGTCTGCTCACGTGGCGTGATACTAAATTTGGTATATGTGAAGTAAGCGAAACAAGTGCGAGTGCAACACGAGCGTGGAGTTTAGTAATGACTTTCATGATATGCATGTCACGATTTCCAGGTTAGGATCTTCGTCATGCAGTTATGTGATACCCCACCAGTTTTGCAATGTGTCATGTAAACGAAACCACCGCAAGAGCAGCAAAAGCATGTAATCTAAATCATGACATTAATGGCATATTTATCAAGGTTTTCATGTTATGATTATATATATATGCTCGCAATATAGTCATGATATTGCATGCCAGTTTTGGTATTGATACCATTATTCAAACGGCTAGGAGAGCTAAAAGTCGGAGATTGTATAACAGATAGATAGATAGATAGATAGATAGATAGATAGATACGCTCAATGTCACTGAACATTGATAAGAAATGCTTCACATTAAAAAAAGCTTTCTCATGCAGGGCTCACTAAAACCTGGCTCACAAATTTTTTTCTCAACAGAATTACCTTGGACTCAATGTCATGGGCAGAACAGACTATTGTGAGTCTGAATGAGTTGAATAATGAATGAGTGATTCAACCTCTGCACGTAAACAGGTGATTAGCAATGACCTCACTTTCCAGGCCAAACAGCACTGAACGAACCAAATACTAGTTACTGTAGTTACGATTTAAATATTTTCACGCACTGTGTTTGATATGGCGTGAATCTCAGGGTGATACAGTTATGAACGGAGGAAACTCGAAGAATAGGTTACATAGTAGAATAGTTATCGCGAGTGAAAACTTGACGCCATTGTCTGAGACCACTGTTTATGCGATTTCTTTATGTGGTTGAGGCCTCGTGATAAGCGCGCAAGCGACACTACGCTGACATCAAGCGTGCTTGCGGAAGTAAAGACGAAAGCGCTGGGTTCATGTCACCTTAATCTTTTACTTGAGTTCCCAGTTGCTGCTTCTCATGTGTCTAGATTCGCCTTAGAAAATGTTTCATGTGTGATCTTGCCGAAGTAATCTTGACATACTCAACTTTTATATTGATACGCATACTCCACTAGTACACTTATTTCCCAATTTCTACTCTGCCCGCTCATCGATTTCGAGCTGTACTGGATTAGAACTACAGCAGCAGCAATTTTTGACAATAAGAGATTGTCGCCATGCTTTTCCTTCCACGTTAGCGTTTACCTTGAAGGTTGTTTTTTGACACAAAAGAGTTTTATGCCGGGGTCAACTAACATTCCAGTGACGTATTTACGTCACGGAAATATTTCTGATTGTGAAAAAATATTCACAATCAGAAAACAAAAAAAATATTCTTTTAATGACAATTGAAAACATCACCCCTAGGTTTAGGACAACATATTCTGGGCACACTATCCCCTGTGCCATAGTCACCTGTTTTGTTCGCTTTTAAAAATACGTCACTTATATCTACCACTGTCCTTTCAGTTCTTGGTATAGAGAGCAAGGCAATATGGCCATCGCATCTGCCATTAGTTCTTAACACGTCGTTTCTAAGCATTCTTACCATCGGTGTGTTCCGTTGAAAATGCTATTTTGTCAACGCCTTAACACACCACCAGGTGGCGCCCTTACCCTTACCCCACTCAGTTTGGACTGGCACGGTGAATGGATGTGTTTTTTGGGCGTTCCCGATTGACTGCGCCGATAAGTGGTTTTGCATGTTTGGAGCTTGCTTTTATAAGCAAGCTCCAAACATGCAAAAGGCAACAGTTAAAACCTTTGTAACACTTATTACATTGCACAGCGTTTTCAGGGTCAGTCTCCAGGTATTTACTTGTTTGTGTGTGTTTGTGTTTTTCCTCTTGCCACCTCGTGGGAGAGGTGCACGTACAACGAACACGCAAATTTGCGTAGTAGAGCTTAGACTTCCTTTTTTTCGTAGGGCATGATTTGTCCTACGCCGTGTTTTTTAATTATCGATTGGGACAATTTATAAGGACAATTGGTGTCAAAAATACATGATTAAAAAGGCTGCAAAATGCTCACGATGGAGAGTGGGTTTGAAAATAGACCCAACTGCAGACGCGAATGAAGTGGAGGCTGCCGCCAAGTGTAGGCAATGTGAGATCGAGGAAAAAAATTGCGAAAATGATGGCTGTCCAGAGTGAACTGCTGATGACAATCACCGAGCTGGAGATCGCGTTGGCGACAGAGCAAGAGAAAACGAAGGCTGAGAGAAAGGCTCAAATCCAACGAGGAGGCACTAGCGAAGGTGAGCAAAGGAGCGGCCGACAGAGAGAATGGTAGGGCACCGGCATCCAGAACGGCGGAGAAGAAAGAGCAAGCAAGTTTGAAAAAAACAGCTTCTGTCGGTTCAATGGTCACAAAAGCTAGCTTCAGCGAAGTAGTGGTGGGGCTGGGAGGGGACACAGCATTTGGCGTCACAGATGCAAGAGAGCCCCCTCCCCCGGTGCAGGATGCTCTGGCTGAAAAGTAACAGCACGTGATAATCGCCGGGCACTAGAATTGAAAATCGATGTGCAGAAGCAGTCAAAGAGAGGGCAAGAGGTGACAAAAAGGTCGCAGTAGGAACGTTCCCAGGACGCAAGCTGGAAGCAGTCATGAGGTGAGCTAGAGCAAACTAAACAACTACAGCTGATAGACGAAACCTCGTGATAAATTCGGGTGGTTTAAGTGATGTCCTAAATGAAGATACGGCAGGACTAGCGACCACATTGGCAAAAGGAGTCGATGACATGTGCACCATTCTCCTCAGGTACAGGTAAGTGATATGCACGATACAGGAGGTACCAGTGCGTGACGGCAGCTGCAAAAAGGTGGTTGTCAACGCGAACCAAGAGATATGACGGATAAGTCGAAAGAAAGGCTTTTGAGGTTGTGGAATAACAGAGAGGTGCATAGACAGGGTGTTTTCAACGAGACAGAATTCACTTTAATAGGAGGCTAGGCCATGAGTGGCTTAGTGACTTGCAGGATGCGCAGTAGCTTTTGGGGGCACGCAGGCCCTTAGGGGTGCGGATAGCTAGTATCGAGGAAAACCAACCAGGGAGTTCTTTGCAGGTGGGTATAGACACAAACGATTTCCCAATAGGCATCAATATTGAAGACACGTAGAGTCCAGGGGCAGAAGTCGACCTAGCCACGAGGGCTGAGCCAATTCGCACGTAGGGTGTATTAACATGCAGGGTGGCAGGAATAGGCTGGAGTGGAACAAGGTAGAGAACAGCTAAAGAGTGAGAAGAGTCGATGGTATATGGTTTTGCAGAAAACACATCTTAGGGAGATGGAACAACCTCCTAACCATCCGGGACTACCGCGGGGAATATCTTAATAGAACAGATGGCCACTGAAAGGGGGGTGGTATTAGAACATCATTCATAAAAGTACAGACTGGCAAAGGGTCAAGCAGGCATGCAAGGAACATTTATGGCTAAAATGAAAAGTGGCAGGGCAAGTGACGCTCCTCGTTTTGTATACTTGTAGACAGGGCAAAAAGGCAGAGAGGAAAGTCATAAATGGTGCAGTGCAGAGGAACTGACAGTGCAGAGGACTGACGTACTAGGAGAAGAGTTGAGGTATTTATAATAATGAGATAATGAATGCGCACATAGAAGATATGGATGGATATACTGATCTCAACAGGAGAATGCTAATGGTTGTGGGTGAAAGGCATGATTTATGATTTGCAACAGCACCGAGAAATGCGAAGGGCAGATAAATTGGGAGAGGGGAAGGCTGCAGTCCGGACGATAGATTACGCAATAATGTCACATAGGATTGTGATTGACTAAGGGTGATGAACATAGACGAATTGGGTCCAGAAGCTTAGGCAGTGATCACAAACCTATCAAGCTGAGTTTTGGGAAAAAGAAAATTGGAAAGGCAGCATTACGAGCAACCACATGGTAATTTATTCAGAAATGCAATATAATAGCAGCTAAAGAGAGAGAAAATAATCACCGTGGATATTAAAGCAAAGTGGACGTACACAAATATATCTCGATATTTGAGTTAGAGGTTGCTAAGGTACGAGTCAAATCAGCCGGGAAAAGCAGACACAAGCCCAACAGTTGGCGACATTCCCATCAGCGTAACACCTCATCGATCAATGAACTTTGCACGTGGAATAGTTTCCGACACAGACCTCCTTGACCTGAAGGAGGCTCAACTCCTCGAGGGCTAGAAAGAACAGATTGTGACCAATGTGAAGCGAAATGTCATCCGAAGGAACAATCAGGAAACCCCCACGAAACCTTGGTACTGACCTTTGCCACCAGTTACCTACCACAAACAATAGAACTGGCTATAAAAGACCGATCAGACCCTACATACCAAACCCCCGCCGATGTTATCAGTGTCAAAGGTATCGGCCATGGCTCTCAGAGC